TACATGTTCTCCTCTATGGTGGGGGGGTCTTACTCGGGAGGGGTATCTGCGAAGTGTCATACAGATTTTGAAGGTTGTCCTGGTGTTATATAGACCGCAGAGCCTTTGTATTTTCTCCGATAACACCTTGACGTAAGGCAGATAGACTGTTTTCTGCGTGTTGTTGTCCTCCTCTTGTAAAGACTGTGTGTACGCCATCTCGTGTAGCTGCGAAAAGAAATATAAAGGGGAGACAGGCCGCTCCCTTAAGGTAAGGCTTCATTCAAGAAGACCAAAAAGCTGTAACACGAGGGGGAGTGGAAAAATCAGGCGTGGTTGAACACATATGGAGAGAAAAAAAAGATCACCGCCCTCTGTGGGATCAGGTTGAGATTATAGACAAGGAACACCATTGGAAAATTCGTAAACTTAAGGAATCATTATGCAGAATTAGGACCAGCATAGCTGGAGACGAATATCCAACTCTAGGAAAACTACCAACCGCCCACTTAGTCAGATGTGGCACAAGGCCGAATTTAATGTGGGTATCCGATGTAATAGGCTTATTTTTCATGAATCCGTAGACCCCGTATAAAACAGGGTCAATTCCCGTAATTATGGACTTTAACATTCGAGACTCTTCCCTGGGGATCCTCTTTGTTGTAAATGTTTTCACTTTTATTATTTCAATCCAATACTTTTAACAATATATAATTTTTTTCAGGGAAATGGAGGGCGATACTTAAAACGCGTGATTTCCTAATAATGATGTCATGTATAGGCTACCATACTTGCAAAATGAGAATGCTTATACATTAATATTTTTTTTTAATTATTTTAATAATCTTGGTGCAAAACGACTCTTCATTAAGCTTTTCAATTTTTGATTCGTAAACATAGTTTCAACTTAATATCACCTAAGTGGATTGAATTAATGCAGAAACTTATACGATTTAAATTATTAAAAAAATGACAACAATTCTTGTAAGAATTCATTAGTCATCGAAAAGGTTGTTTTTTTTTCTTAAGAAAATAGTGCCCTTAATAAATTTTATTTATAAAAGCAATTAAAAGTTTTTCTAATTTAAAAAACATTTCATAGTTTTATTGAATTATTATTTTATGATAAATATGATTTTATAAACTAGATATGAACAGATTATTTAGATAGATAGATAGATAGATAGATAGATAGATAGATAGATAGATAGATATGAACAGACTGGGATTGATAGACAGATCAAGAAAAAAATTAAAAACAGTTGAAGAGATAAATGATAGATATATATAGAAAGAAAGAAAAGAAAGAAAGAAAAAAAAGAAAGAAAGAAAGAAAAGAAAGAAAGATAGAAATGCAATAGATATATAGAAAGAAAGAAAGAGTTGAAGATAGATAGATAGATAGATAGATAGATAGATAGATAGATAGATAGATAGATAGGAACAGACTGGGATAGATAGATAGATAGATAGATAGATAGATAGATAGATAGATATAGATAGATAGATAGATAGATATGAACAGACTGGGATTGATATACAGATCAAGAAAAAAAAACCAAAAAAGACAGTTGAAGAGACTGCGATAGATATATAGAAAAGAAAGAAAGAAAGAAAGAAAGAAAGAAAGAAAAAAGAAAGAAAGAAAGAAAATGCAATAGATATATAGAAAATCTAAAAGAGTTGATAGATAGATAGATAGATAGATAGATAGATAGATAGATAGATAGGAACAGACTGGGATAGATAGATAGATAGATAGATAGATAGATAGATAGATAGATAGATAGATAGATATTATGAACAGACTGGGATTGATAGACAGATCAAGAAAAAAAGTAAAAAGACAGTTGAAGAGACTGCGATAGATATATATAGAAAGAAAGAAAGAAAGAAAGAAAGAAAGAAAGAGAATGCAATAGATATATAGAAAGAAAGAAAGAGTTGAAGATAGATAGATAGATAGATAGATAGATAGATAGATAGATAGATAGATCACATATGCTTACTCAACTTGTTATTCATATTCTTCAAATGTACCTGTTTTCAAAATGTCTTCTCTTAATATTGAACAGGTATTATTTTAACGCCATCTGTTTTTGATTATTATTACTCGACATTGATAGGCGGCGCATGCGCACATTTACAAATTACCTGACATCGACTGACACTATTGTTTCGGTAAGATAAAATAAAGATCGATTGTCGCACTACTGATATGCCATATTGTTTGAAACATTTCCCGTCACACTCAACAATTGGCGTTATCTTTTTTCCATTTTAAACAAGTTTTCACATGTTCAATCTTAATATTATCTGTGATAATCAACAGTTGTGTGTAAAACCTTGTTTTCTTTTGTTTTTCTTTTAATAATAACAGTGCCAATAAAAATGGTGGATTTCTGGTTAATGAACGAAAATCATTTTAGAGAGAAGAGAAGAGAAGAGAAAAAACAAAAAGGTGACTAGAAAAAGAGATGTCATTCAGGAAAAGAAGAGTAAAAGCTAAAGATATGAGGAAGATGAAAAGGAACGTGGAGGAAGAAAATAGGTAGATGTAGAAAATAATAGATAGATAGATAGATAGATAGATAGATAGATAGATGAATTTAAATAGGGGAATATCATGAAGAGACTGACATAGATAGATAGATAGAATAAATAGATAGAAATAGATAGATAGATAGATAAGAAAATATGAAAAATGAATATGATATATATATATAATATATATATATATATATATATATATATATATATAATAGATAGATAGACATAAAATGATAGATCAGAATGATAATATAAATAATCCAGAATTGAAAAAAGATATATTTTTATATATATATATATTTATATATATATATATATATAAATATATATATATATATAGAAAAAAAGAGTAGACGAGAGAATATAATAGATAAAAGATATTGGTGTAAGGATTTGAAAAGATGCGATTTATATATATATATAATAATATATATAATTATATATATATGATAGATATTCAGATATGAATCAAAATGACAAAAGATATTAGAAGGATTAAGAAGATAGATAGATAAATAAAGAATTGTTGATAGATAGATAGATATGAATGGATATGATAGATATAAATAACTGGAAGATAGATAGATAGATAGATAGATAGATAGATAGATAGATATGAATCGTATGATAGATATAAATATCTATAAGATATAGATAGATAGATAGATAGATAAATGGATGATAGATAACAAGTCAAAAAAAATTTTCGGTATGAAACAACAGTCAAATATTTAAATTATTGAAAGTTTCAGGAGAAAGAATAATTCTAGCGGTCTTTTTTTCAAGTATTTTTTTTAAAAAACTGTCTGTCTTCTTTTTCGCTCTTTCATCCGTCTCTGTGTTGCTTTGAAAATCCTAAGAGTAAATATGTGAACGCAGGTAAAAAAAAAAAAAAAAGGAGAAAAGACTGAGCAACCTTTCGTCATTAAATGCGTCAACACATGAAATTATCAACTGGGAAAATCGCATCAAAGTTAAGCGAAGTCGACAGACACGAACTAAATACGGGTAATTAAGTTACTGAAGAGAACGTTATTTTAGATTACTTCTCCGAAGATTTTCAAAAGAGAACTTTACAAAAAATAACAAATAATAATAAAAAAAAAATTCTTTATAACAATTTACACGTTCTTTGGGTAGTTGACTAATGAGTTATTTGAATGGAATTTTTAGCGCACAATATTTTTCCTTTAATTCAATTCATGTCACTATTTCTTTCTTTCTTTCTTTCTTTCTTTCTTTTTTTCTTTCTTTCTTTCTTTCTTTCTATCTTTCTATCTAAATCTGTTCATATCTATTTCAGAGGATTCATCTCTATCTATCGCAGTCTCTGCAACACTATCTATCTATCTATCTATCTATCTATCTATCTATCTATCTATCTATCTATCTAAATATGTCCATGTCTATTTCAGACGATATCTATGTATTTATCTATCTGAAGCTATTCATATCTCTCATACGATGCATTCTGTCTATCTATCTATCTATCTATCTATCTATCTATCTATCTATCTATCTATTAATAAGCTATTCATATCACACGTTTCATATCTATCTATCTATCTATCGCAATCTCTATATTTTTCTCTCTCTCTTTCTATCTATCTATCTATCTATCTATCTATCTATCTATCTATCGCAATCTCTATATTTTTCTCTCTTTCTTTCTATCTATCTATCTATCTATCTTAAGTTATTCATATCTATCAGACGTTTCATATCTATCTATCTATCGCAATCTCTATATTTTCTCCCTCTCTCTTTCGATCTATGTATCTACTTATCTATCTAAATCTGTTCATATTTATTTCAGACGATATCTATCTATCTATCTATCTATCTATCTATCTATCTATCTATCTATCAATAAGCTATTCATATCTATCAGACGATTCATATCTATCTATCTATCTATCGCAGTCTCTACAACTCTGTATTCTCTCTCTCTCTCTCTCTCTCTCTCTCTCTCTATCTATCTATCTATCTATCTATCTATCTATCTATCTAAATTTGTCCATATCTATTTCAGACGATATCTATCTATCTATCTATCTCAAGCTATTCATAACTATCATACGTTTAAGATCTATCTATCTCTATCTCTCTCTCTCTCTCTCTATCTATCTATCTCTCTATCTCTCTATCTATCTATCTATCTATCTATCTATCACAGTCCCTTCAACTCTACCATTATTTCTCTCTCTTGATCCATCTATCTCTCTCTTTTCATATCTATCTACCTATGTATCTATCTATGCATCTATCTATGTATCTAAGTTATTTCATCTTTCTTTCTAACTAATTATATTAATCTATTCATATCTATCAGACGATTAATATTTCTCTATAGCAGTCTCTTCAACTCTAACTTTATCTCTCTCTCTCCCTCTATCTATCTATCTATCTATCTATCTATCTATCTATCTATCTATCTATCTGACAGGTTGTTTATATCTGTTGTAGATTAAATAAGACACCCCCGGTAAAACAAATGAACTAGCCGAGACAAATATTAAATAAAGAACTCAAAGTGAGTCAGTAGACGTCTGTTGGAGTCAGTCGGGGAAAATTCCAATGACGTCACGGCGAGTAACCTAACCAAGACATAATAAATTATAACCGCGAGGAAAATGAGTTGTAACATTGGCGACGAGGAATCAAATCTCATACAGACTAAGAAAAAGTACTTTTTGCTCTCGGTGCATATGATAACAGTGGCAATAGGAAATTAGAACCATCTTTGTTTAATTTTTTTTTTCTTTGTGGTGTTTAAAAAAGAAAGAAATGAGAAAGACGGGAAAAAAACCCAGATATTCTTCAAATATGGAAGAATTATTAGCCCAAGTGGTAAAAAATACAACAACAGCATTTGTTGGAACTCCAGAAACGACACCAAATTTTAATTGAAATAATACGGAAGAAAACGGAGAATTTCCCAAATTCCTTCACTCCCGACGCCCCGGCAAATGCCATAGCTGAATTCCCATACAATTCAGATGGAATTACCTTTTCTGCTTATTTTAGAAGATGCGAGTAAATTTGCAGATTAGAATGCAATGACTGCGAAGACGAAAAAAAAAAAAAAATTTGTTGAAAAAATTAGCACCAGTAGAACATATTGTACTATAAAAATAGGATAAATTTCCTTTGAAGAAACAATAAATATTCTAAAATGTTTACCGAGAATTGTTCTTTATTCAATACTCGTTGGAAGTGTACGAATCTGGTGAAAAAAAGTAAGATGAAGATTTTGTCACATATGATGGAATCTTTAACAAGCAGCATGAAAGATTCAAATCAAACGAACTGACTCTGGATAAGTTTTAAAAAAAAAGGGTTAATTTTCGTTCAAGGGTTAACGGCGAAAAAAAAACCGTAGAAATACGTGCTAGAATTTGAAGAGAATAAAAAAAAATCTAACGCTACAAGAAATATCGAACGAATGTCAGAGAATCATAAATCTAAGATGCGATACGGAGGAAAGTGAAGAAAAGATATGCCCATACATACAAGATAAAAGAAAAAATATGGAAACAGAAAAATTAATCCATGTTTTATATGTGGAAGGTAACGTCTTTGAGACGACTGTCTCTTTAAGGATTCAAAGTTCCCCAAGTGTGGAAAAGGGGGACATACTTATCTCACTTTAAAATATAAACGAATAAAAGTACTCACAGAAAAAATTCATACACAGCGTTACGACGGAAAAATAATTACAGAAAACCAAATAAATGTTTTGTATGTGAATATTAATAATGTGGATGTACTAAATGCAACTAGACATTGGTAGTGATATCACAATAATCAACGAGTCCAAATGGAAAGCAAACGGATAACCTATACTAAAAAGAATTTCGAAAATCGCACGTGGCGTGTCAGGTAAAAAAATCATTTTTTATTGGTGAAATGACGTGTAACATTTCACTTCGTAACAAGTATATAAAAGCTAAGGCTTATGTATTAAAAAATGCTACAAAGTTATTCGCTACTGACTGGATGGAATTATTTGAGTTGTGCGATTTACCTATAAATTCTTATTGCAAAAATGTAAGTTAAGAAGCTAACGATTAAAAATACTGTAAAAATTTAAAGAAAGAATTGAAAAACATGTTTTCCAGATGTTTTGTCATATGAGTTGGGTAGTTGTTCCAAAGTCAAATCTAAATTTAAAGTGAAAAAAGGTTTCGACACCAGTGTTTAAACCGAAATGTAGTGTACAATTTGCAACAGTGGATCAATTCGACGAATAATTAGACAAATTTGAAAAAATAGGTGTATTGAAAAGATTGACCATCTAAAATGAGCACCAGCAGTGTATGTAAACCCTGAACCCGTTTATACAATTGAAAATATAGTAAATTCGGGGAGGTGACCCTGAACCCATTTATAAAATACGGGTTCAAAGGACCTTTTTTGGTTAAAATGGCCTCGGAGATCCACGTTAAATCGGCCTTGTGCCATATGATGCCTCAAGGGGGGGGTGACTAAATACTGTTCAGTCTGAAGTCGGACGACCGGCTGATCGGTTGAACTCTCTGCCTTCGGGCGGGGAGGAACCCGAACGAGGCTACGCCGAAGGAGGGAGTCTCTTTCGGGGAGGTAAACCGACCCTGAACCCGTTTATACGGGTTCAAAGGGCATATTTTTGAGCCGAGCCCACGGGCTCGTAGATCCCACGTTAAACCGGCCTTGTGCCACATGATGCCCTCGTGGGGGGGGTGACTAAATACTGTTCAGTCTGAAGTCTGGAGAGTTCAGTCTGAAGTCTGTCAGAAGTCCGTCAGGTCAGTCTCAGTCAGTCAGAAACAGAGTCAGAGTCAGTCGAGTCTGCAAGATATTGAACAGAGTCGCGTTCAGACAATTACTACTAAACCTGATTGTTCGTACTAACACTTTCTACTTCTCTGTATATATTCCTGTTTGTAATATATCTGTGTTATTCCATATCCGTGTTCGAGTTCTTCTTTATTGGTTCTACCTTGGACTATCACCGTGGTACAAGGAACCGGACCATAACAGTATCAAAAGAATTTAAAAAAAAATGTGGCAAAAATTTTGGAATAACTCATAAAGAATACATGGTTTCTCTTTAAACCTGATTGTTCAAACTAACATCTTCTACTTCTCTAATATATTCCTGTTTGTAATAATATCTGTTTTTAAGTTCCATATCCGTGTTCGAGTTCTTTCTTTATTGGTTCTCGCTATTTTGCGACTATCACTGTTTAGGAATAAATGTATAAAGACCATAAATTTTATTAAGCACAGTTTTGGGGAAAGAAAGTATTATCAAATCCATATTGCTTGATAAAATTTGAAAGATCCACCGAATGGTTTATATGGAAAAATGAATGCCAGAAAAGGCTGTTTGATTTTCTGTAACTAAAACATTTGATTATCATTAAACAACTATCCAAAAGATTAAATTTTATTGGCTATTATATCTTTAGTGATTATCCTATAATAAAAGTCATTTTTGTTACAGCAATAAATAGTGATTTGCAGGTCGTTTTTTAAATCAAACTCAGATGCTAAATTTTAAATATCTGGACAAAAAAATTATTTAAAGAAGAATTGCACGAACACTGAGATCCGTAGACGGCAGTGGGATGGCTAATTGGGCAAATTATTTAGATCGGAAGATTTTTATTTTTAAAAAGAAAGAATCACTGAGCTTTTTCACGTGAAATATGTAAATTTATGCGGCATCATCCTGTTATATATATTTTAAAAAATGCAAATTTTTACGCCAGGTCAAAAAGCCAATCTCCATTCTACATTTTCATGCTAAAAAATCATGGACCGAATTGTAAATGAAAGATCCTATAGGTTTAAAAAGAAGGAAGGCTCATATTTTAAAAAAAGGAAGAGGCAAACATTTTCTCTGCATATTCATAATGATTAAGGTTTTTTTTGGATACCGTTCGCTCAATACAATTTTTAAGTAACGTTTGTTTAATTTGTTGTTATTGTTAAAACGTTGTTGATGAATTCCTGGTGGACTTAATGGTGGTGGACTGACAGAACGTTATTGTTTGATAAGCAGAGTCAAGGAATGCATTTGAGTTTTCCTAAGAATTTCCAACTTAAATTGTTTATTTCTCTTTCATGTTCTTCATTCCTTTCAAGGAATGTGGACATAAAATTCAAAAAAGAACAGCATTTTTTGGCCAATAATTTTTATCGACAATTTTTTGTTTGCTGAATTCCGGCATGACATCCGTTTGTTTATTATATATTCATTTTTATTGTATATAAACGATTTTAAAAATTTAAAAATTTTGTTTTTTTTTTAAAACTGATTTTCATTTTTAAAATAAAATTTGTTTTAAATTTTTTTATTGCACCATTAAAAAAAAAATAAGTTTTTAATTTTTTAATTAAATTTATTGTGTCTCTTGACAATAAATTGAATAGTATATATTAATTGCATTTAAATTGGTTTCTAAATTTGATTTTGAATTCTATCAAAGACCCCATCCGTTTTCAGCAATGAGATCTTAAATTTCCTGGTTTCCATTGTTGATTCTTATTTCAATGTTTTCTCAAAGAGATGCTCTTAGTTTCTGGGAAATTATTGAGAAAAATAGATTTAATAATGGACGACATTCATATTTTGTGGGGGTAAATTCAAATAGATCTTTTTAAATACAAAGAGGTGGAAATAATATCGTTACAATCCTGAAAGGAAATTATTATTTGGAAAAGGCCATAATTCTTTCAGAACATTTTCAACGAACCAACATGAAGAAACAAAATGATAACATCCATTTAATTCAGGAGACTCTGAACGAAATCATTTTCATGCCAAATTTAATTGTTTATAAACTTAAAAGAATAAATATCACATTTTATTTCAAATAAAGAGATTTTTTGTTTCTATATCCGTAAAATTTATTTTTCCTGGATTTTCATTAAGATGGTTCTAAAAAAATAATAATTAATAAAGAATTAATTTATTAATAGATTAAACAATCTGTAAATTATAACCTATCTTTAAATTACAAATGTTTTCAAATTGGAATATTTTATTGGGATAAATTCAATAGTTTTAAAATATAGATTTAACCTCAAATCGTGAATTTAAAAATTCTATCCGTTGAAAATTGTTTTTTTTGGCTTTTAAAAGTTTCATTTAAAATTATCAAAATAAACTTTTAAAAATGTATTTGCAAAAATGTAAATGAAAAATTATAATTTTATTTCTTTTTCTGGAATTTTTTTTAAAAATTTCCCCACAAGTCATCCTTTATTTCATGAAATAAAAACAATCGAAAAAGAAATTGAAAGACAATTTTGAGAACTCAATCCATTTTTAAAAAATACTTCTATGAAAATAATTTATGTTTGCAAAAGAAAATTAATGGCATGTTCAGTCTTAATTCACTATTTTTTTTTTTCTAATGCAAAACCTCAAAAAAATGTATCACTGAAATAATTTTTTCCTACCGTTAATATTTGTTTTGTG